AATCTAAAGTGCCGGCTGGTTATGAACGTCAGAGCTGGTGATGTGCACATGTTTTAAGCAAATGGCTTTAAACACCATAATTAGCCCTCCACAAGCCATAATTCCCCGCCGAATGAAGCGCAACATGGAAAACGTCACCGGTCCTGCGTAGCCCCGCGCACAGCAAAGCTGTCCATATCCAGATGTCCAGGGGAGGCTAATGGTGGGCGCTAACAGCTAAGCTAACAGGCTCCCGTTGGAGTAAACCAAGCCGCTGTAAACTTCCTGACCCACGGAAAAGAGAAAGAAGACAGACCACGAGAAGAGGAGCTAAAAAATAGCCCCACAATAGCACGTATAAATGCATTTCTCAGAGGAATAACAAGCAACTCGGCCTTAAAGCTTTGGAGCCTGTTCCACAGAACGATGAGCAGCAACAGAAAAAAGGTGGAATACATTGTCCAGGAGAGGAAATGAGGTGCTGGCATAGCTGCTTTACCACATCAGTTCCATTGAAAAGTGAAGAATTTCAAGGCTTGCTGCCACTGAAGTTCATTCAGTGTCTTCTGAAAACGCACAAAAGCGTTCGGCCCCGACTGGAGCCCTGAGAAAAAGGAAAAAGTTTACTTTGGATGTGTTAGTCACAGCTTCAGGTGGAAAAGAGCAAGAAGGGGGCGGGGAGAGCTAACAGGGTCAAGGAGTAATGCTGCGAAAAACAAGAGCTCCACAGGGGTTTTACTGAGGAGGATCTAAAAGACGAAGAGGCTGTGGATCATATGCACCACCATCAGAACAGTTTGTCTTTCTTTAAGTTCCATCGAATTTCACTCGAATCGTCAAGGCCACGAGTAACCTGAATCCATCATCATTCCATCATTTTTGTGCTTTGAATACCGAAGCAGAGAGAGTGAGAAGGAGCTATTGAACTCTTGTTTGTTTGTGTACTATGTGCAGTGTTGGTATGTGCAATGTAACGACGTTACGTCATTTAATTACCAAAAAAAGAGTAACTGTAATTCGTTACAGTTACAATGAGAAAATATGTCATTCAGTTACAGTTACTTCCGAAAATATTAAGAATTACAAATGTAGTTACATTTTTTTTTTAAATATAAAGAAAAACCTTTGCAAAATATGCAACTCACTGATAGACGAAGCGTTTTGATTTACTAATATTTGACTGTTTGGTGTTGATGCATGACAAACGTTTATCGATGTCTATGACCTAG